CTGCTACTTTTAGACACAGCAGGCAAACCTGTGGCAAGCCGGGCGATGGGAAAGAAGGAGAAGACCATGAGAAAAAGAGAGCAGAGAAAGTGTGGACTGCTGGAATAACTGCGGTGAACTGGTGAAAGAAAAGTGAAATGGTGTGCTCTCCACCATGAAGATAATCAAAAATGAATCTCAATCCACACTCAAAATAAGTACCTTGATATGTGCTTTAGAATAGATTTTTTCGTCAATCAAATCCAGGTTTGAGGGCCTTGCCAGGAAGCCTAAATCCCACTGCTCTCATTAAGACAGAAAAAAGAAAGGAAAAAAAAACATATGGTCAGTTCAAGTCCATCCATCTTCTTCCACTTATCCGGGATCGGGTCGTGGGGTAGCAGCTTCAGTAGGGATGCCCAGACGTCCCTCTCTCCGGCCACTTGGTCCAGCTCCTCCGGGGGAATCCCAAGGCGTTCCCAGGCCAGCCGAGAAACATAGTCCCTCCAGCGTGTCCTGGGTCTCCCCCTGGGCCTCCTCCCGGTGGGACGTCCCCGGAACACCTCACCAGGGAGACGTCCAGGAGGCATCCTAACCAGATGCCTGAGCCACCTCAACTGGCTCCTCTCGATGTGGAGGAGCAGCGGCTCTACTCTGAGTCCCCCCGGGATGACTGAGCTCCTCCCTATCTCTAAGGGAGAGCCCAGCCACACAACGGAGAAAACTCATTTCAGCCGCTTGGATCCAGGATCTCGTTTTTCGGTCAGTTCAAGAGTTTTATAAAAAATTTTAAAAAGTGAATCAGGAAATTGTCTATAAAACAAACTGAACGATTGTTGTTCTCTACTTCAGGAACAATTAAGAAAAATAGAAAAACTTTCTATATTTTTTAATTATAATTTTTTATTTAAAAAAAAACATAGTATAACATGGATGCATAAACACCTGCATTTTATTTCAGTTTTAAATTCTGTTTAAAGTAACGGATTATAATCTAAAATGTCTCCGGATCTTTACTGGTTGATGATTTTTGTTATTCTGACCCCGCTGAGGTTTAATTGGTGACCCCTGGCTTAGAATCGTCATCCGCATGACCCTTGGAAAACATGCGTAGGTAACCAGACAGAGGCACCGGGAGGGGGCGCTGTTGTCCGCCTCAAACAGCGCAGCCCAGCCCCAGCGACCAGCAGCAGCAGCAGCAGCGGCTGAACCCGCCGTCTGTCCGCTTCTCTCCGACACTCCTTCATGTGTTCAACCACAGGGAAACTTTTCAGGCGGAGGAGAAGGAAACGAGCCCAGGGAATATTTTTAAGCGTTTGTTTCTCTTCAAATTCACCACATTGGGCTTTAAAACAGACTGTAGGTGAGTATCAATAAGGCAAAATAATTATCTATTTTTTTTTTCTAAAGGAGTGAAGATAGAAACGCTGTTAAAAAAAAAAAAAACAGGCAGAACCACGTCTGTTGATTAGAGGCAGATATCTTTATGAATTTATAAGGAAGGATTAAATATATGGTCAGAAGGAACCAGTTAGTAGCCTTTATAACTGTTCTTAGTTTGGTCAGAAATGTTAAACTACAATACAAACAATGCTGCATACATGAAAAAATATAAACTAAGAAAAAGGTTAAATACACAACCTGATGTTCCTTAAGTATGGCTGAAATGGTAATTATCTGTGATTACTGATAAGATATTTAGTAATATTTATGGTTAGAAGACCATCAGTACACACATCCTATATTATGATTGTTTTTTTTTGTTGTTGTTGTCTATGATTATTGGTCTAAAGTCTCTAGAATATTGACTTGTTAATCCTGTTTTTGACAGGAAACAGCAGAGGTTAACTTCCATCCATTTGTTTCAACTGTTCTGCTGCTTTGCTCTGTTTTTGCATTAAATTCAAAAAGCAGATTCCACTAACATGGTCATGGGGTCCAGGAAATGGGAAGATAAATTATCTCTTCAACTACAGACACAGATGATGTAGTAAATTAATTAAAAAAATACTTCAGACTTGAGGACTCATCTTTGAATTTGCCTTTCCAACAAGTGATGCTGCAGATTTTAAAAGACTGAGGATAAATGAAGCCCTTCCTGATTCAGATGGAGATAAAAGAAGAGTAAAGTTGAACCTTTTCTGGATTTTAAAATAAGATGTGTTCCAGGATTCACTTTTATTCAGTAAAACTTTATAGCAAGTTTCCTTTCAAAGCACCCAGTTCCATCTTACTTTTAATAGATTCTTTATAATATTTTTTGACTTCCTTAACGTTTGATATTTTCTTAATGGAAATAAATAACATTCAGTCTTTCCCTGAGGGAATAGTGTGAGGCAGTTTTTGCAAATATTACCCATTTTACCAAATGTTGGGGAAAAAAGGGAACAAAATTTTACATTTATTAAAAACCCAACACCAGTTGCAAATTTCTGAAAGGATTTTGAGCTACTTTCAACTACAGATGCAAGCAAATTTGTTGACATTCCTGATTATAATTCGCAAATTAAAATTATTTTGCATAATATAGTCTAGATAGTAGTGAAGACCGATGACTGCTTCGGTTTGGAAGGCTTTTATATTTTATGGTAACATGCAAAAACACTGTTTATTCAGTTAAAACAAGCTTATAGGCTCATAAAAATGGCGTGAAACTTGTGACAGTAGAAGAGGACAGAGGAGCGCTGTCATCTTTGCTTCATAAAAACGTCCCATGGCTGTAAAGTCATGAGCATTTTACATAGCATACTGCAGCTCTTGTTATTGTCTGACAGACAGTCCAGGTATTATATGGTTCTGTTTGATCCTGGCTTATTGAGTTGGTTCCTTACAGAAAGGGTCAGGCCACAGAGTTGAAAGGAACAGTTCTTTACAGCAGTGTGTTTCAACGTAATCCTATTTTCCCCCCAACAAGAGGCTGTGATGTTTACTGCAAACAACAAAAGGGAGGCTTGTTTAGAGCATGACACACCGTAACTGCATTATGTGGGCGTGGTTAGTGGGTTAGAGGGATTCCATGTTTGCTTTTAGTCATCTTTGCTTGAAAACGAGCAGATGTGTGTGAATTAGAAAGCTCAGGCTGGTCTTTCAGAGGGCCAGTCTGGGTCAAACACTCTGTTCTCTTGCAGTCTGCTGTGACTTTGCTCAACTGGGGTTTTCCACTGTTGAAATGGATTCGTCCTCCATGTTGCCTGGTTACCCTGCAACCACTGGTGCAGACCTTAGTGTGGTTTAATCCCGTGAGAGCGTTGCCCCCCCCTGTCAGTCCCTCGACTCAAATTCCTGACTTGGCCTCAGGGGAGCTCCTCTGTGCGTCAGCGCTCTGGTCACAAAGACCTTAAGAGAATGTTTCTAGTCAGCACCACCTGCCCTTTCCACCTCCGTAAGTCCAGAGAAATAAGCAAAAAAAAAAAAAAAAGGCCCGTGCTTCGATGCACGTACGATCCTCCTCTCTACAGCGTTTGGCAGGGATAAAGGTGGTGCTCCCTCACAGGGTGTTAGCAGAATGTGTCATATGTGAGACGGTTGGTGAGCGCAGAACACATTTACTGCTTAGCAACAGGTGAGGAGAGCATTTCTGATGGGCTTGTCTTTCTCTTTCCGTCACAGATACTTTCATATTTCAACCCAAACTCTGTTGACTCTTTCCCAATC